TCTTTTTTGCTGTTTTTATTGTTGTGAACAAAAATTTTCATTTTTAAAACTACAGAGAAATTTAATTGCAAGTATTAATAAAATTACTCCTTTAGCCTGGAAGGATCTTTCTTTAGGACTAATCTTGAACTGCTTTAATTTTTCCCTTTGCTTTTGGTAGGACTAGTTGGATGCAGGAATTATTTCTTTACAGTAACTTTGATGCTTTTGTAGTACGCTGTATAAATGGTTATCCTGGGGGAAAAGCTTTTATGTATTTTTAGTATGGCAACATGAATGGATTTATAATTCAGATAATTTATTTGTTCAGTTAAATATTCTGAATAGCATTTTTTTTTCTAATGAGTCATGACACAATATAATCATACTGTAGTTTTTGGTGTAGTCTGAATTGTGTATATTATGAAACAAAATTTCTAAAGATAAACTATTCACTTTACTTTCCAGAATTTCATGTTACTACATTGGCTTTTCCTTAATTACAAAATTATTCCATTTAAATCTAGACTTGAGCCTGCCTTGTGAGATCCTGTGGCCTTCCAGAACACTGAGTTAACCAAACTTTTTAATCTTGAAAGTCAGGAGAAAAAAAATTTCATGGCATGTGCCTGGCCAGCCCCAACTCAGAAGCACTTTTGTCTCTCTGTTGAGGCAGGGGAAACCTTGTTATTTGCAAACACTCCACCTGATTCTCTCTATTTGTTGTCTTACTGAATGGAGGAGATACTACTTTGCTCCTCTACGCTGATTGCAAAATAGGGCGGTTTGGAACTGCTATGTCTTGCAGGAGTATCTACCCATAAACACTTAAAATTCAGGAAAGCTCTTAAAGGTTACAGTAACACCGTGGCCATTAAGTATAATTCTGACTTTTTCAGTACTGGTTTGCTGCAAGTGGTAATTGTGAATATATGGAAATAATACACTAGAGTGCTTTTTTTTTTTGGTAGTGTGGTGTTTCATGCCATTTTTATCTTTATTTTTGCTTAGGGCTGATGGTGCATGTTGATAAAAGAATTACACTCTCTGCCTTCAAGCAACATTTGGAGCCTTTTGTTGGAGTTCCATCTTCTCACTTCAAAGTCTTTAGAGTCTACGCCAGCAATCAAGAGTTTGAGAGTGTTCGGCTGAATGAGACGCTTTCGTCCTTTTCTGATGACAATAAGGTTATTCAGAAGTTACTATGAATCATTAAAAAATATGTCAAATCAATATAGACAAACTTTAAGAACATAATTTGCAACTCTTTGTTAACTTGCCAGGTGAAATCATTACATTGGTCTTGATAGTGTGTTACAAAATGTAGTTTTGATTTTGATACCAGTTCTAACATACACTCCTTTTGCCTTCTAGATAACTATTAGACTTGGAAGAGCCCTTAAAAAGGGTGAATACAGGGTCAAAGTCTATCAGCTTTTGGTAAACGAGCCAGAGGTAAGATATTGAATATTTCAAGATTGATTCGTGAGAATATTAATATATGCCTTGACCAAGGCTTTTGTCTGAAATCTTGGAAAAAAAAGGAAGTTTCTCTTTTCTCTGCATTTTCCTGCAAGTTTTCCTGGATTCAGAAAGGGAACTTGAGATTATTTCTGTTCATGCTCTTCCAAGTATACAATTGGAATGTGATCTCCAGTGTTTTTAAGTGTCTCCATTACTGCAGTAGTGTAAATGGAGGACAAACGAAGATAATTGTTTCTTTTTTTTCCTTAAATGTATGAAAGTCAGGTAGAATTCTTTCCAAATAAGAAACTGATTTTGCTCATGGTTGCAGTTTTCAGTAATATTTTAGTGATATAATTTGTGGCATTCATGCGCTGCAGACAGTGCTTATCAGAACAGTTAGGTGGTTAATAGTCCTCTCTGCATAAGACAAGCCTGAAACAAAAATGCTTCTCTCACAATAATGCAGCTCACTTGCTTGTTACATCTTTTGGGACGTGAAAAGTATAAAAGTGATTTCACTATATAGATTGCAGTCTTTAAAAGTTGACTTTATGTGCACCTTAATTTCTGATTTTGTTTTTTTGGACCAAACTGTAGAATATGTATTAATAATGGATAAGTGTAAGAGACTGAAGCTGAACTGATAAAGCAGGGAATAAGATAAATTTAAAAGTATCTTCCAGTCATGGAGTTCTGGTCTGACCAATGAAAGCCAAGAAAGTGGCGTTTTTATTATCATATGGCTTATTTAACTTAAAAGCTCCCTTCAAATTGTTTAGAATGTTACTATAGTGGTAGCAATTAGTAATACAGACACAAGACACTACTTCTGCAGTGACAGGTGTTCGGAGTGTTTGAATGACCTGTCAAAGGGCTGTTGCTACACAAATTAGCTGAACCAAATTTTAATCATTTCATTGCCTGCCTTGTTTATGAAAAGCATTCTAATGGTCATTTTGCTAGGTGGATGGAACTGGTCACAAAACATGAATACATACTTTTTTCTGTTCTAAAAATTCTTCTTTAATCACTTTCTGGTTTTGTTCACAGCCATGCAAGTTTCTTCTCGATGCAGTTTTTGCTAAGGGAATGACTGTCCGACAGTCAAAAGAGGAGCTGCTTCCTCAGCTTCGAGAACAATGTGGCCTAGACTTGACAATAGACAGGTAAAGAGACTGCAATCTGTTTAAGTTACTCGCTTAAGTACTCTTTTAAAATGTGTTTGGGGTTTTTTTCTGTTGTAGAGAAAGGAAGTTATGAAAGGAGCTGAAGTAAGTTACTGTGGTCTTTGACTCAGATTGTGAACACAAACATCAATTTAGCAATTCTTGGCTTTCATCTCATGTAGAATGATTATAGGGAATAATATTTACATAGAATTGCCTGTGTGGAACATGTTTACAGGTGTAGATCTGAGAAGTTTTATTCTTTCTAAGCATGATTTTATTCAGAAAGGAGAGCATTAAGTAAATCAGTTCACAAAAAAAGCCACCTTCTCTCTATACGCAGGCTCAGTGTAGATGACTGCAGCAAACTGCCTCGTGCATTATCATAGGGTGTGTGTACAGCACCGATCCAGCCCGTCTTTGTTACCCATAATCAGTTGTCTCATCAAGGCTGAACTCGCTCTGGGGCCTTTATTCCACATACTCTCTACTGTCTGTTACAAGTGATGTGGCATTTACTGTAGAGTAGCTGGCACTCTGTATTCACTGGAATTAAGAAAAAAACAGTAAGATGTGGTAAGCAAGCTGGTGAGGCCTTGACATACACCTAAAATCAGGCTGGAGCAAAATGTTGGAAGACAAGTGTTGGCCCTTTCCTGTTGAGAAAAGGAGTAGAAACCTAGATCTGGACCAGGTTTTTCTTCTTTCCTCAATATGACTGGGCCAAAGGATTTTTGACTGCAGTGCTTGCGTTATGTTCTCCAGTGCCCTGTAATTATGGGGCACATCACAAAATTTGTCTGCTTTTGTGTGTAAAGGAACCTTTACAATTAAAGTTTTGTACTTGTGTTTAATCTCGTATTAGTTGTTTATACCTTTCTTTACTTCCATATCTAAATCTAAGCTCATCCTTTCATATGTTGTCACTGGATTGATGCAGTAGAACTAAGTACATAAGTCAGACACTCATCCTCCACCTGTCTTCTTCTTCCCCACTTCCACACCACACACACCTGCCCACCTCCCTTCCCCCCACAAAAAAAAAAAAAAGCTGCAAAATTGTTAGAAGTGTTTGGGACTACTCTGTTTTCTTATCCTAAATAGGAAACTGTTTTCTTCCTCTAAATCCATACGCATTTCTTGCACTGAACAAGCACAATACAGTTCATGAATGATGCAGCACTAAGAGCCAGTAGTGACACTGTCAGGACTACTTCAGAACGTTAAACTCATTCCTGATGAACCTAACCAGACCTCGCCTACATGAGTTGTATTTCGGTTTTGTCAGAAAAAAATTCAGTTTTGATCTCTGGCAGTGGTAAACGTTTATGAGCAGATAAAAACTCAATTGTTTTCTTCATGATATTTACAGGTTTCGCCTGCGAAAGAAAACTTGGAAGAATCCAGGCACCGTATTTCTGGATTATCATATCTATGAAGAAGATATCAATATTTCAAGCAATTGGGAGGTCTTCTTAGAAATACTTGATGGTAATAATGATATAATGTCAGCAGAAAGTAAAGATAATGTTAGAAAATTTTTTTTCTTCAGAGAATGTTGGCAAATGTACTTTCCCTTTTTTCCTTTTTTTTGAGGACTATTACTGACGTTTTAATAGCATTTTATTAGAAAAAAAATAGAAGCAAAAAGAATTAAAAATAAGAAGCTTTGCATGAAGCTGGCAAGGGATTGTGCAAGTGCAGATATCCTGTGGCTGCGATGTGCTAAAGGTCTAATAGCCGCACTGTTTTGTTAGGTTTATTGGGAACTTTTGGACATGCTGCAGTACCGTAGGCAGTTTTTTGCGTGTATGTTTTCATTGTACACAAAAGCTGTAGGAATGCCTGTACCTTAGGCTTTTATTTGTATTTAATTTTTGGCCTAGTATTGGTGATGTTTGTAGTTAGCTGAAATGTGTGTATGTGTATACATAACACATATATAATTAGTTTTTAAAGTCAGCACAGCTGTTCAGTCGTAGTATTTTTCGGACAGGAGTGAAAAAACACTCATCTGCTGTCATGAAGTGCTAACTTTTTGAACAGACCTTGGCCATCAAAACAAGTTTGGATCAAATGTTAGAGAGCAGATTGTTTTTTAAATTCTGCTTAAATATCATTACGAAAAGATGACATTTCTTAAGCTATCCTTTGCATACACATACAAAATTTGGATTCTGAATGCAAAAATATAACTTGAGGGGAAAAAAGTAGGCCATGCTGTTCTTCCTTTAGATTGTGAATGACAGAACTGGAAACCATCAAGGA